AACAAAGACTTTTTTCTATACTAATATATATATATATTTGATTTGTCGATTGTAGTTTTTTTTTGAAAAATTTTTAATTAGATAGTAATTCATTTTGTTTTATAATAAAACTTAAATTAAGTTGAACTTCTATGTAAAGAAGAAACTATAATAAAATATGTTGTTAGTAGACTAAATTTAATTCATTATAGAATATTTAAGTTTTACATTGAAAAAGAGGAAATATCAAATGTTTTTTAATAAAATAAAATGTATTAATAAGTATTTTAATCATAAAGTACAGTAACGATAATTACAGGATGGTGTTACAGGAAGTAAAAATACGTAGAATGTTTGACAATTTGTTATTGATATTGAATTACAAGCATAACAGGTATTCGCTGCATAAAAGAAACAGACAATACTTGTTGCTGTAGTAAAAAATGCGCTTGGATATTGACCAGCATACCATCCAGTGGCAGTACTACCACAAGAATTAGGTGGTACAGGAGATTTAGCTATTAATGTTCCTGCTTGATCTTGAAAACGAATCCATACAGGTGTAGTGCTATTGAATGGTAATATATTATCACAGTAATTAAGCGAACTTGTATAGGCAATATTACGTGTTTCATCGGTGTTAAGCGTATAATTTGAACATTGAGGTGGTACTGTAGTTGAGACCTGATATGTTGTAAGAGGTGAGGATGAACATTCAGCAGATGCACTTATTGCTGTAATATTATAAAATGAAAACAATAAATTGTACTATATAAGAAATCAATACTTACTTGCTGTATTTACTGTTGTTGCGGATACTACTGTATTTGTCGCAGAATTTTTCATAGTCAAAGCGAGTGAATAAATGCCAATAACTAATGCTACTATGGATAACAAAGTAATGATAATAAGAATCACAACTAATATCATTAAATATGAACGAGTATTGGTTTTGGGCGACTTTAATGATATTGTTTCTTGTGAACTATGTTGATATCTATCATAAAAATCAATATATATAGTTTAAATGTTTTTCACAGTAAAACTAATGTCATTAATTATTTTTAAATTTGCTTTTCTGTTTTACCTGTAATCTTCTTGAGATTGTGCATCAAGATCATCAACATTGATATTAAGTGTTGAAATATACATAGGCTGTTGTCTTGGAATGTTTCTTGCCATTAATTATCTTCACTTGGTAATATTCAGAAAAGATATAGTTCACTCTAAATCAGAATCATTTGAGAAAGAAAAACAGAACAAATGTAAAAAGAGGCAGAAGGATATACTTATGTCAGGAGTTGCTTGTTTTAATATAACAAATATTATATCATTCATTAATTCGTATGTTGATGATAAGTCAAGCAGAGAAACACAAATATTAATGCTGATCTTTTTTTGTATAGAAGTGTTTACACTTTAATAACGCTGTTTAAGAATGAATAATATGCAAATTGAGTTTTGCTTCATTCGATTATATTTACGAAGAAATCTATATAATTATCAGGACTTTTTTCTGTTTCTTCTACAAGTCAATAAAAGTCAAATGAAGCATCATTTACGTTAATTGAGTGTTTAGTGAGACAAACCTATGAAGTTGAGTTTATTTATGTATATGTTTTTTATTGTCAAGGTTGTTTTTACTGATCTATTTTAAACGTAGAAGCCAAGTTCATGGCCACATTTATTTACTTACAGAAAAATATGTATTTTATTATTAAGTACTTTCATTTAAATTTATATATAGTTACATCAATGATAACTATCGAGAATTGTTCATGAGCAGTTAGTTATAAGAATGTATACTACACTTATTCTATATAGATAACAAAAATTTAACCCTTAAGAGCCGGAAGACCTTATCGCTGTAAATTGAACAAACTAATTGCTAAAATAAAAAACCTAGTACTTCAACAAGAATAACTGATAATAAAAAAACATTTTTTTTTCTTATGGAGATATAAAATGTCCCTTGTACTTTTAGTTCTTCATTTTTCGATACACAGACGGTCAAATAAAGCAATATTTTACAGCTTTTCAGTATTTACGAATTTTCCCATTCATTAGAATGCTAGTCCGTGGGTGTATTCAAGGGTCATAGAATCAATATTAGCTGCGAGAAGATGATCACCCTCTATTTGAGCGAGTGAATATGATTTGTGGACGAAGTGGTTGCTAAATTATTGAGAAAAATGGAACAAGGAGGATCGAGGAAGATTTAGAGTGAAAGCTGGATTGATATCTTTGCCGTAAACGTTATAGAGAAAAGATACATTCTCCTTTGATTTTTCGTTCCTATCAGGTTTTATTGAAGGCAAAAATCATCGATCTTAAAAAGCGCGCTGTTTCCTCTTATGATCTACCGAATCATATTAATCGAAAGAAATAAAAAAAAATATTGTTCGCGCATTATATTGCATATTGTATTCGAATTTTATAATGTCCCTTGGAAGGGACATACGGCTTTTAAGGATTAAGAAGATATATTTGCTGATTTATATATTTTATTAAGCGAAAAATTATTTATTCTAAACGAATATTGTCAATAGACCAATAGAGATCATTAGAAGCATGTTCAGTTTGTGTCCATCGAAATCGTATACCACCAAGAATTCGTTGTTCATGAATTTGTTTCATATTCAGAGGTAATGTAATATTAAACAATTGTGGATGTTCTTGATTATACATTGTAATTAAACGCATCCATGATATACCTTCGTCATATGTCCATTCAAGAGCTACAGTAACATTATTTGAAGTTAATACACAATTATCTTCAGTTGTAACATGAAATGCAAATGATATTGTTCTAAAATAGAAAAAGATTTTCGTTTTTATCCTTTGAAATATAATAAAACTAACGTTGCTTGACTAATATTAAGTTCACGAGTAATTGCTTCTACATTACCACATCCACAACCAGCACTAAAATGAAGTGCTTGTCCACTTAAATAATTTTCAGTAATATTGTTATTATTATTTATATTTTCATCACAAACATGACGAATATGTCCATTACCACTTAATCTAAACCAATTATTTAAATTCGGTCCATTATTGATACCAGCATCAGGTAAATCATCAAATGTTTCATTAAACCATATTGGTAATGGTTCTATACCGACATATTTTTCACAATACAATCCTAATTATTCACTGATACAATCAAAAGATTAATAAAATATATCTCTGCCTACCTGAGTAACCTATAGCACATTGACAGCCTGATACAGTACATAAACCTCGATCATGACAATATTCTGGACATTCACCAATGAATAAACTATTCATTGACCATTTTTCATCTTCACTTTGTGTACCAATCCAACGAAATTGTGTACTTCTAAATGATGCAAAAAAAAGTAGAATGCTCTACCTAGATCATTGACTTTTTCTCTTTCCTATAGAGTGCGATAATAGTCAACTATTTGAATTGCTTATAATAATTCTTCTTCTCCCTCCTCCCGGTATCCAAGGTAACATGATTACTTATGGAGAGACAAAAAACGAATAGAATTTATTGATGCAGACAAGAAAAAAACAGAACTAAAAAAAAATAACATTCACGCTATTTTTTAAATTATTCATGTGCACTTAGACAAATTTGTTAAAATATGCTTGCTGCTTCACAAGAAATCGACAGTTTCATTGAACGTCAAAGATCAAAACTTAATAAACAACCATCACAACAACCTATTAATCGACAAACTACATTTCAACAACCAGCATATCAACCACCTCCACGTCAACAAACATTTCAATCGAATGATATTCAAGATCGACTTGATTTTAAAGTTGCTCGAATTTTAGATGAACCACCACCACGTGTTCAACAACAACAGCAGCAACAATATTACCCTCCTTCATCACCACCACCACCTATGAATAATAATAATAATCTAAGTGCAGAGCAACAAAGGCAGTATTTTTCTGAACAACAGCAACAACAACGTCGTTCATCAAATGATAATACCGAGAATAATTCAGCATCATTTTTTAATAGATTTGGAACGTATGATGATAAACGTACACAATTAAAAGATGATTTAAAACGTGAATATAATGAATATTTACAAGCACAAAGAGGTCTACCTAAAAGTAAATCATCCTCACAATTAGTATCACCACGTAATAATATAACTAAACATGTACAATTTCAACAACAACAACAGCAACAAAATAATAATAAAGTTGTTGCACCATGGGAAAAAAATGAAAAAAGATCAGTATCAAATATTCAAAATACAAATAATATGTCATCAACATTAACATCAAATGAATATACAGTAAATCGTTCTCGAACAAATACATCTAATAATCATGATGAACAATATATTCGTGATCGAGAAGAATATGTATTAGAATTACATTCACAAATACGAGAATTAGAATCAAAACGAAAACAACTTGAAATAGGTATATTTATTATCTATTAATCTGTTTGTTTTATCATTTTCTTTTTTGAAAGATGCGAGCAGATTATCTGCTGGTGGATCATCAATGGTTACTCGTGCACATTATAATGAGGATTTAAGTGCCTTAAATTCTTTACTTGCAGAACGTTTAGATCAACGTAATTCAGTTGATCATGAACTAGCTCGTATTCTCAATCGTCCACCAGTTTCTTCCAGTCCAACACGAGGTATAACAGGTGGTGTATCAAATCTTAATCTAATATCTGATCCATCTCAACAAATGTCATCACAAGGATATCAACAACAACAACAACATGGACGTCATGTACAACAATATAGAAATGAAAATCGATCGGGAACAAATGACAATGGATTCACCATTGGTCAGGAAGTCGACAAAGATGCTGAACAAGCAGCAAAAAAACGTTATCAACAAGAACTTCAAGCACAAATGCGTGAAGCACAAATGCGTAAAGCACAAGCTAAACAAGATAAAGATGAATATGACCGAAAAATAGATGCAGAAATTCAAAATTATAGTTATTTTGGTCGTAGTGGTGGTGGTGGCGGTGCACCCATGCGAGATAAAGATGGTAATGTT